CAAATACGCATAAAACGAGTGTGCCATGAAAATACGTAATGTAATGCGTGTTGTAAAGATAACGAGTAAAAACAAAAGAAAAGCTTACAGCTGCATGAGTCGTGACGGTCACGTTAGCCTGATGCGACCAAACTCTCTTTGTGATTTTAAAACGTAAGACAATACCCAGATTTGAAGACTACAGTAAGATTGAACTTCTACTGTTAATAAGATTTTGGTAGGCTACTATTAGATGGATAATTCAGATGGGCTACATGTTTTTTTTTTTTATGGTATATCAAAAAGTGTATATTTTTTTAATGTGATTGTTGGTACATTTGACCAGTTTTTACCATACTTTAAAAAAACAAATATTAAAATAGGAAAAATATGCAATATGAAAATAATTGAAGACAAAATGTGTTTTACTGAGAAAAAACAAGATTTGGTTTTTAAAAAGCCTTTTTCCATAAGGTACATCTGAAAAAAGGGGGGTTGTCTTATATTCGGGCCAATACGGTACTTAAGTTAATGAGCTGGAGCCCACTTCAACCTTTTAACGTTTTATTGCTGTTTTTAATACATGTGCAAAAAATATCTGTGGCATCCATCCTTTCATTCTTCAGTGTAGTTGGTTGAATTTTCACATTAATTAAAATTTTTCATGCAATATACTGGCTTTGCTATGACTTTATTCTCAAAATATCTTAACTTTAATCTCATATTGCTACGACTTGTATCACAATAGAATTGTCTTCCAGAATGAATGCACAGATGATTGCAGAAATCACTCCTTTTTCTAAACCTCGTCACTCTCAGGAAAATGGTGATTTCTTCCGAGAATGAGTTTGCAAATGACGTTTCATGCTGCTTTTACATGTGAAACTCTTCTTACACTGAGGGCACTTGTAAGGCTTCTCTCCAGTGTGAACTCTCAGGTGAGTTATAAGGTTTAGTTTAACAGCGAAGCTCTTTCCACACTGTTGGCAGGTGAAGGGTTTCTCTCCCGTGTGGATTCTCATGTGGACACTGAGGGTATCTTTTCTGGAGAAACTCTTTCCACAGTGATGGCACATGAAACACTCTCCTCTGGTGTGAGTTATTACATGATTCTTGAGGTGATTCACGTCTGTGAAACTCCTTTCACACTGATGACAGTTAAAAATGTCTCTCGACATTCCACACCGAGGGCATATTAATGGCTTCTTTTCCATGTGAATTGTATCTGTGAAACTCCTTTCACACTGATGACAGTTAAAAATGTCTCTCGAGTGAATCTTCATGTGATTATTAAGGTTTACATTATGTCTGTAGCTCTTCCCACACTGTTTGCAGGTGTAAGGTCTCTCTCCAGTGTGAATTCTCATGTGGGCATTAAGGTGATTTTTCTGTGTAAAACATTTTCCACACCGAGGGCATATTAATGGCTTCTTTTCCATGTGAATTGTCATGTGAACTTCAAGGCTTTCTTTTCGAATGAAAATTTCTCCACACTGTTGGCAGGTGAAAGGTCTCTCTCGAGTGCGAGTTCTCATGTGGGAATTAAGGTGTGCGTTTTGTGTTTTTTGAGCTTTTTCTGGTGAGGACGTCTGTGAGCAACTAATCGAATCAGTTTTGAAATCATGTTTCTCATTTTGATCTTTCTCTTCTGTTTCATTCAGTTCTTGGCTCTCCTCTTTCAGTGCCATCAGGTCTAAAAAAAGAAAGAAAAGAGAAATACAAGTTAACACCAGTTTAACGCAGCAGCTAGAGCCCTTACTAGTCACACTGACCACTGTCTACATCATTTAAGTCTGGAGGACTGATTGCACAGAGAATAAACAGTTACTGGCCACACTCTAACAGTGCCAAGTCCTCCCTATACGCACAGTACGTAAGTTGCATATCGAACCACAAGGGGGCCCCATTGCAGACGTGCAATTACCGTATTGGCCCGAATATAAGACGACCCCCCGTTTTCCAGATGTACCTTTTGGAAAAAGGCTTTTTAAAAAACAAATCTTGTTTTTTCTCAGTAAAACACATTTTGTCTTCGATTATTTTCATATTGCATATTTTTCCTATTTTAATTTTTGTTTTGAAAGTATGGTAAAAACTGATCAAATGTACCAACAATCACATTAAAAAAATATACACTTTTTGATATACTATAAAAAAACAAAAACAAAACAGGTAGCTCATCTGAATTAGGACATTTAGGCTATCCATCTAATAGTAGCCTACCAAAATCTTATTAACAGTAGAAGTTAAATCTTACTGTAGTCTTCAAATCTGGGTGCTGTCTTACGTTTTAAAATCACAAAGAGAGTTTGGTCCCATCAGGTTAACGTGACAGTCACGACTCATGCAGCTGTAAGCTTTTCCTTTTCTTTTGTTTTTACTCACGATCTTTACAACATGCACTACATTACGTATTTCATGGCACACTCGTTTTAATGCGTATTTGGCGCCACCTATTGTTGTGGGTGTATTATTGACATGTCAAAGTCTAGACCCTGAATATAAGACCACCGCGTTTTTTCAGATGTATTTCCAAGAAAAAAACATCGTCTTATATTTGGGTCAATACGGTAATAGAATCTTGGTTTCATTTTATTAGTTTGACTTTCAACAATTATAAAAACACAATGGCACATTCGGTTTCTGTTATTTATAGTGTGGTGGCTTTCCTTGCCTGTGATCCGATTTGAAACACAGGCCCTGTCCACACGAACGCGGTTATTTTTAAAACCACAGCTTTTTCTACGCTGTTTGGCCGTTCGTCCACACGCAAACACAGCATCAGGTCACTGAAACCAAACATTTTTGAAAACGCCTGCCAGGGTGAAGATTTTCAAAAACTTGTTGCTGTGTTATCGTGTAGACAGTGAAACCGGAGTTTTTGGCTTGTGACATCGGAGCCTGCGCTGTTATCTCCGCCTACTGGAGACTTTTTCAGGCTTTTGATTGGCCAACATGGCTTTACGGTTTAGATTATATCGCCACCTGTTGGTTTGGAATGCTCTTGACAGTGCTTCATAGCATGCGTTTGCGTTTTCATGTGGACAGAGATTTTTTTTAAACGGAAGAAGGAAGAACTGTTTACAAAGCTAGCAGTTGCCCTTTATATACATTCATATACACATGGCCAATGTCTCAGAAGTAAGCGGGAGCAAAATATAAGAGCTCCTCCAGCTTTCAGAGCCAATGTGTGGGTGCACTTCGGTTTTAAAAACAAGTCAGGGAGTAATGAATTAGATAAATGCCATTTGTGAGCTTTGCCAGGCTACACTGAAATATTCAGGAAATACAACCAACTTGCTTTATCACTTTATCACAGGACCCCACGCACCTCAGCCAAAACCTGTTGATTCAAGACCAACTACACTGGATAATACCACAAACAAGCTTCCATCTACCTCATCTTTGGCAAAGAAAATGACGGAGTTGGTGGTGTATTTCATTTGTAAGAATTTGCAGCCATATAGTGTGGTTGAAAACACTCCAAGCCACTTGGGTCTACATAACAAGACCTTCTCCGCTTACAGAGGGGATTAGTTAAATTAGGTGGACAAAATCCATGCCTGGAGGGCAGGGACGTCCAAGTTATAAAACCTGATTAAGCTAGGCAGCAAAGACCAGGCGGCAGCCACACAGATATCACCAACAGAAACTCTGCTGGACCAAACCCAGGAAGAAGCCATTCCCTTAGTTCAGGGGTAGGCAAGTTCGGTCCTAGAGAGCCGCAGTCCTGCAGAGTTCAGCTCCAACCCTGAAAACAAAACTCACCTGCCTATAGCCTTAGTAATCGTGAAGACAATGATTGGCTTGTTCAGTAGGGCTGCATGATAAATCACATGCAATATTGTGTTGTTCACTCGTTGTTCACTGACGAGCTGCGCAAAACCACGTTCATATTCGCGCGATTTTTTGCGCAGCTCATCAGTGAACAATGGCTCCGTGTAGTTAATGCTGCTCAATGTGAAAGCACGCACGTGATGGAGATTTACCACTGATTACAGAACCGGCTTTCTGAAAAGATGTGCATTAAATATCGCATGCGATTTATCATGCAGCCCTATTGTTCAGGTATGTCTGATTAGGGTTGGAGCTGAACTCTGCAGGACTGCGGCTCTCTAGGGCCGAACTTGCCTACCCCTGCCTTAGTGGAATGGGCTCTTACACCAATAGGACACTGTAAGCCCACAGAGGCATAAGCCAGGGCTATAGCAACAACTATCTAGCAAGTCGCTGCTTGGTGAATGGCAGCCCTTTAGAGCCATGAGCCGCAGATGCCCAGCGATGAAATTTTATCGTGAATGATTTCATCACGACTAGCAAGCTGGACTTCTTGTTTCTCTCTGAGACCTAGTTGAAAGTAGATTTGCCTTGGATGACTGAACTTCTGCCGCAGGGTTATTCATACTTCAATACCCCTCCGTCAACTGGTCGAAGAAAGGGCACCTCTATTATGCCCCTGTTTACAAGATGTACCACCCATTTAAAATGTAACTATAACAAAAATACAGTTACTCATATTTTGTATTTTAAATACATAACGACGTTACATGTATTTCTTTACTCCTGTTTATTGGCCTGTACACAGGACATCAAAGCCTTGATGTCTGCAAACTTTTTGAAATTAAATGATAAAAACGAGGTCATAGTGCTTGGCCCTAGAAATCAGGAAGTGGCTGAATGCTTAAAATCTAATGCTCTGGTTTAATTACAACTAGTGTAAAAAATTTAGGGTTCCTTTTCATGGGAACTTCGAACTGCATCCTCTAGGGGTCGCTATGGGGAACGCCTCATCGTGACCCGTGTCTGAAGCATACATTGAAAAAAACACCAACTCGTTGGCCAGCGACAGCCATGGCGTCACTACCGGTGCTACTATAGTATAAATAGGCGCCGGGAGCACACATCATTCTCTTCTTCGTCTTCATTGACTGTTTTGTTTGAAGTGTGCATTTCTGTGGTAAGAGCGTTCTCAATTCATCTCATTATGGCGAGCACTAGCAAAGCGTTTAAGGATGTGTGCATCCTTGTTGACATTGTTTAACATCTGATGACACACACTATCTATGCGTTATTTGTTTGGGCGAAGAGCACGCACACGATGCCTCCGAGGGGGCAATCGGCGTGCACTGTGAGCGTTTTTTCCAAGGGAAAAAAGCTCCGCTCTCGTTTGTCTCTCTTTTCGAGGAAAGAGGGGCAGCCTTCCTTTCTTCCTGTTTTCCATATAAAGATTGAGAAGGAAAGGAAGAGGCCATTTTTTCCTCACGCATCCATCGATTCCAGCATACGAGTTATGCCAACATCGAGGCGATGCGCGAAAGCGGTTATGAGAAGATGCCCTTATAGGGAGACGCTGGCCAGCTATCTCTATATGGGTGAGACGTCCTCTAAGACTCCCCTCCTTGACATCTCACTCGGATGCCAGGGCATACGCAGCAGCAGCAGGTCGGGCTGTCTCTTCATTGCATACAATGGTGATGCTCCAAGCATATCAGGCTGACCTGCTGAAAGACCGGGATAGCAGCCTTCACGAAGTCCAGGTTTGAGCCCGAACAACCCAGGGGTCCTAGCCTGTCTCGGTTTGAAGATCAGAGACTGGCTCAGAAGGCTAGTGTCATGGCTTGCGCTCCTCCCCCACCCGCGGGTAGGGGTAGGAAGAATCGCGGGTCAAAGGAAGGTAAGTAAAAGACCTAAGGGATGTGTTCCAGACAGGGCGTCAGTGCTTTTGTCCGGATCAGAGTTATACCTCAGTATCTACTCATTTCCTTCGGGGGTCTTACATCTGCCCTTATCTTCACCTTCCTAATTCCCCTGTAACCACCATCTCTCCACCTGACCGAGGTTAGG